ATATTATGGTTACTCGGGGTAGCAGCAGTGGCTTCCCTGCCGCTGTCGGACCCCCCCCGCACGGAACAGGACCTCATGCAGCTGATCCTCGAGGCACTACCCGGAGAAAACGACCTTGAAGGAAACGTAGTCAAGGACCATCCTGAGGCTGCCCTGAGTGTGCCGGTAACCACCCAGTCGTCCGTCAATGTGACCTCCAATGTGCCCAGCGACCCGGCTGGCACTGTGCCTGCCGATGATACTTCTGCCCCTGTCGTCACTACGCCTGAGCAGGAACAGGTGCAGCAGCAGCAGCAGCAGCAGGTAGCGGAGGAAAACCATGAACAGGTAACTGAACAAGAGCAGATGCCCGAAGAGGTAGAACAAGTGCTTGAGCAAGAACGGGCGCCCGAGCAGGAACAGCAAGGGCCTGAGGAGGTGACGTTGCCCGAGCAGGAACAAGTCCCCGAAGAGGTACAACAGGTTCCCCAGCAGGAAGCAGAAGAACCAATCCCCGAGCAGGATCAGCTCCCTGTCGGACCGCAGGCGAACCTCCCGTGGGTGAAGTACTTTATCCCTAACACAGACGAAGACCCCGAGATTCCTGGAGAACCTCTCGTTGACATTTCCGAAGAACCTCTTGTTGACATTCCTGAAGACGGTTTTGTAGCAGAACCCCAAGATGGCGTAGAGGAAATTTATGTTCCCGAGGAATTCCCCGAAGACATCGTTGACGTTCCTGAAGACAACTCTGAAGAACCTATGGCTGTTTTTATTGACGAAGAACCCGAGATTGTATACATTCCTGAAGAATCTCTTGTTGACATTCCTGAAGACGGTTTTGTAGCAGAACCCCAAGATAGCGTAGAGGAAATTGATGTTCCCGAGGAATTCCCCGAAGACATCGTTGACGTTCCTGAAGACAACTCTGAAGAACCTGTGGATGTTTTTATTGTGCCTGGAGATGTGCCTGAGGGCTTTATGCCTGAAGAGACGTATGATGGCCCTGAGGGCTTTATGCCTGAAGAGACGTATGATGGCCCTGAGGAAATTCCCGAAGAAATCTATGAAAACCCTGACGTGCCCGAAGAGGCTTTTTCTGTTCCTGAAGAAGTTACTGACGACCTTGAATATATGCCACAGGTATTTGAGGGCTCTGAGGACTTCCCACAAGAAGCGTTTGGCCCTGAAGCGATTATTGACTATTTTGATACTCCCGCAGAAGTTTTTGATGCCGAAGAGGTAATTCGTAAGCTTAACTTTGATACCTTCGAAGACGCTTCTGCAGATGTTTTTAATGGACATCAAGGGACCCCTGAAGTTCCAGAAGGTTTTTATGATATTCTTGGGGAGCGCCCCGAGGGGATGTTTGTCCCTGAAGAATTCCCACAAGTCGATGGCCCTCAAGACTTCCCTGAAGGTCTCTCTGATGGTGCGGTTTCTGTAGGAGTTCCTGAAGAAGTCTCTGAGGATGCGTTTGATGGTCCTCAAGGGGCCCCTGAAGGTTTCTTTGGTGCTCCTGAAGAAGCATATCCTGAAACTAGTCCCTTAATACCTGAACTCGTCCCAATAAAAGTGTCTCATATGGGCCAGGAATTCATTGAGACCAGCGAGTCAGAAGAGGACTCCGAGGAAGACGAACTTGTGAATGTTGAGCCTCAAGAATACCCACAAGAGGAGACCTATGACCAACCCATCTTATATTTCGTAGCTGAAGAGGAAACTTTCGTGCCCGAGAATGCTGACTACACTCCCGAAGAGGAATACAACTTCTACGGAAATTCTGGCATGGAGCAGGATATGCCACAGATGGATGAAAGGGAGTATATCCCCGACGATGCACCCATCGCGTCGGACAATCATTATGTCAGGGAGGAACAGCTAATGATTGAAGATGGTGCATTTATGCCTGAGGATGGGATCTCTAACGACGAAGCTATGATGGATACTGTGAACCTCCACACCCCTGAAGGTGATGTAATCATACCTGGGTTCCTTCCAGACATGTCGGAAGAGACCTCTTCGGAAGAGGATGTTCCAGAGCAGTTCTACCCGCAAGGTGTGGAGTCTGAGGGCGAAGGCAGTTTACATTTCTACCTGCCTCATCTCCTAGAGCGGACCAGCCTCCTTTCTATCATCCCCATCACACCCATCGCTGGAGAAACATTCCGCCCTGACGAGCCTTTGCTGCCCATTGCCGAAGAGCCACAGACAGACGAGGCTGATCAGCTGACGCCCATCATGGTCGACAATCAGACATTTCTCATCCCCAATGAAAATGACAGCCAGAGAATAATTTTTCCCGAGGATGAAGAGCCCACCCAGAGCCTCCCTGTCTTCCCTGGCCAGTGGGACGATGAGAAACATTTTTTTCTACCAATCGAGGAAGAGGTTGATAGAGATGACCAGCCACTGACTGAGGAAAATTTCCCAGAATTCGAGGAACAACAACAACCAACTCGAGAATTCCTTGAGCAAAGTTTCCGCTTCCGCCCACAGCCACCGATGAGAAGACCCATATTTCCCACAGAGGAATCTCAGGACTACTTCGACGGCCCACAGACTCCTCAGAGGTCTGGCTATTTCCACCCCGAGCCAATTCCTGAGCCAATCCCTGATGATGATGATGATATAATTTACCCTGATTATGACATGCCAGCTGGACACATGCACTTTGACTATTTCATGCAGCCTCGCTACCCACAGCTGTACGGCAGAAACGGCTATTACCCACAGTCAATCAACGAGCCTTCCAGGAATCTAGATTTCACCCCACAGAACTACCAGATATACGGACCACGTTTCGGACAACAAAGCAACTCACCTTCTCAGTTCTCTCCTTTCAACTTCAGGACTGCTATGCCTGCAAGGTCCCCCTACAGGCAAGGTTATCAGGGTCCTTTCCAATTTTACTCAGGGCGGGTCGCACCACAAAGCCAGTACGAAACCAACTACGGTTATCCTTGGAACTACAACTCTCCTTCCCTCCGTCCTGTGTGGTAGGCCCGGAAGGAAGACGAAGGTGGACGACATACTGAGGCAACACCATGATAATGTCTGTCAAGCAATGCTGTATCATACACTGCACCCTAAGAACAAAAATACTGGAATGTCTTCTGGTGTTGGTAGGAATTGTATAAACATATCTTTGACAACAGTATCTAGTAATGATGTATTAATATAAAGCTAAGATCATGTCGTTAACTATTTATACGAAAGTTATACTGTATTTTCGAAGACAACTGATGTCATAAGCAAAGCTTAAGAACACTTTGACGAAGTTGAATAAGATTAGAGTTTCTAGACAATGTAACATGTCTCAATGTTTGTGTACCTTGGATTCGTGGCATTCATTACCCTATTATTATAACATCATCAAATGATGTACATGTAATTCTATATATAAAATTATAAAATGTTTACTTGCTTATCAATCATTCACCCTCCAACCAAAAAAACAATTATGACAAGAACATTCAGAGTGAAAAGGTGATAATGCTTGCCTACTCAATGCACACTTATATACTTGGGTTATATAAAACACTTTTACAAAGCATATTCAGAACACATACAGGCCTCTTCATTTGTATACACACAAGTACTTCCCGAGACCTTCTCTCAAATAAAGAATAGAGTGATGACTGCAAAATGGAAGGAAATAAACCAAGAAGAAATATAATTAATATACATTATGCACATTTATATAAACTATAAATTATATTACAGACACACTCAAGAGAGAGAGAAAGAGAGAGAGAGAGAGAGAGAGAGAGAAAGAGACAGAAAGAGAGGCAGAGGGGGAGAGAGAGACACAGAGACAAAGTAAGCAGGGGAGAGAGAGAAAAAAAAGAAAGGGTACTTAACAATTTCCTTTTCTCACATGCTACACCTACAATTAGTATAAATGTGAAGAGTGATGTACAAAATATTAAATACTCTATATTCTATTCAACTGTGGCATACCAACATGCCCGGTGCCCAGACTGCTATTTAATATTCTCTTTGACTAGCAGAGACGTCTGCTGCTTAATCCATTGTACAGCACATGACTTCAATTACATGTTTGGAAGAGAAAGTGTGTTGAAAGTGTGTGCATATGCATGTAGGCACATATTTCAAAATAATTATTCTGACAGTATGAAGGTGAGATATAAATAGGGTTAGAACTATAGTTGGATTTCTTGAATAAATGAAAGAAAAAAAATATTATTCACTTCTTGCACAAATTAGGCAAGTACATCTGAGCTTAATAATGTGTGTCAAGGCAAGAAAGAATCCTTTTATTTCAGCATCTGAAGAGGCATAATAACAATGTGTCGTATTTGATTTAAAACATATCCAGTTTGTTTTGTTAACAACAGATATGAAGTTTAACTGAGTATCTTGTAATAAATGCCACATTTTTTTGCCTTTTAACAGACCATAGTGTCTTCTTGATACTCTCAAATAGATTCACTTAATCAAAAACAGTCTATACTAAGTCAGCAGTTGATGTAATATATCTATTTTTTTAAAGACTTTTTCTTTATTAGGCATTTTCTGTAAGCACACTTCTTTAATCATCAACAACACTTCTTCAAGCTTCATCATTTCTAAATATCCATTTTCTTTATAAAACAATAAACATTAAAACATATTTTCTTCTTAAAAATGATATGATAAGCAAAGGAAGGAAGACATGAAAACAAATTCTCATGAAAAGCTATACATGAGAATATTTGTCAAATATTATTTCAAAAATCAGAAATTAAATCAGAAATTACTCTCATATGACATATTGTTAATGAGTTTCTAAATACTGTATTTGCTGTTGCGTTGCCTATTTGAATATCAGACATATTATTTTTCATAAAGAGTAATAGTGCAGTGCCTTTTTACATCTTTAAAAAATACCGTAATTATGAATTACTTATTTTGTTTTGCACATAATATGCTCTAAGACAAGGTCTATATAAGTACTTCCAGATCTTGGTCTAACCCTTTTTCTTTTCATTTTCAAAGTACCATTAAATATGCACACATACACCAATATATATTTCACTTTTACTGTTAAAAAAAATTAATGGACAAACTCTTTTCTACAATTCTCAATTTACATTATCTCTTTTCAAACACTGTATATTATTGTTTTCTCAAGCAATCTAATTAGTCCTATGTAAGTTTTTTTGAAGTTCTTTGGCTCCCTGTCCTTGTTCAATGAAAAAATTATTTCAAAGGATGGAAGAGCAAAAAAAAAAATCATATGCAGAAAAAAAAAATCCATCAAAATAAAACATTTATTACAAATTCAACAAAGTGCATATTGCATGTTGTTTAACAGTGAGAAATTTTCAAGTAATAAATAAAGTAAGAACACATTAAAAAGTTATGCAGCAGGAAAATACACACAATTCACAAAACAGAAAAGAAATAACACCATCTATCTGGGGGATGTCTTTATCTATTTGACATGCAGGGAATGTCTTGGAAATAATTGTAAACATGCTCTTATAATTCTGGGCAAGGTCCCCCCCTTCTACTTGCAAGCACGGGTAGTGTATTTGGATCACATAGGTAGTACAGAGTTGCTAAAACTACATTCAATATTGTCTTGGAAATAGAAAAATCATTCATGATATTTTCTGAATCCTCAGATACACTAAACTCAAGCACACTGTTTTTTTTTATTTCAGGAAGACAATGCCAACACCTACATCTAATATAGTGCTTCATTTTATCTTAAAACTCCTAAATTCAGGACATATTAAGTATTTGAGCATCACAACACCAATAACAATAACAATATATCTAAGACTCTCCACAAAAAGTTGACCAATTGCCATAACCCTAACTGCTCAAAAAAAAAACATGCCTAATAAATCCTAATATTTTATAAGAAGTCAATTTATTGCCAGCCAAAAAGAAGCATGATTCTTAAAATGCCTAAAAGCTTAAAAGAAATACAGCAGTTGGATTCATTTTGCTACTGCAGTTAACAGCCTCACCATGCCTATGCTAGTATGGTACCCCTCATGCAGTCAGTAAATATAACAGATATAATGGTATAGTAAAATATACCATCCTCTATATGAATAAAAAATATCTGCAATGAATAGTCACAGCCCAAGTATAACAAACAATATATGAATCTTAATTAGTTATCTTAACCTATCATATAGTTAAAAATTCACTTACAGCACTATCATCATTAGACGATGCATTTTTCCATCTTGAACTCATATAACTTTCTTGTTAAACTATGACTATAATATTTTTATGTAGAGCTCTTCATAAGATAATTACATCCAAGTAACATTATTCATCCAAGGATTATCCATAAGGCCTGAGGATTGTGCAATACATAAATGTTGTCACATACAAGAATAGAGTACATAAAAGTATACCAAAATATGATTAAAAATAACTTATAATACTGGAATTATATCATACTTTTCATCCTCACTTGTAGGTATGTTTATTATCACTGTGCATTTCTGCAGTAGTTACATGATTACCCTGAATCTCAATATATATAAAACAGCAATTCAAGAGAAATTAAAGCATCCATCACAACATTTACAATAGGTCTTGCTAATACTAATACCTGTTCAATAATTGGTAACTGATAGCCATAATCAACATCTCAAGCTGCATCAGTAGTAAGGGTTTGTGGGTTCACTGTAGTCTGACACTATAAAATCACAAAATACCAGCAAGCAAAGTCAAGTGTGTGTACAAAACAGACAGAAGGTATGATGGATATGTGAGAGCACCTTTATTTCAAAGCTACTACTCAAGAGTTAAAGAGTGCAAGCTGATTATTGGAAAAAAAATGAGTCTATAATATTCACCTCAGGTTAGCCATGCATTAAGAAGAAAAAATAGTAAAAACTAATGCCTATTCCTTGTTACTTCAAAGAAGCAGATAAAGACTCAAAACTATACAATTGTTGGGTAAATGGTGTGCAATTGCAAAAAATGCATGGTTGGCTAAGGACTGCTCTAACCTATAAATGATTTAGAGCAACGATTAAAAATAACATATTTGCACAATAATGCTAACCACACACTTTCTCAAATGCTGTCACTTTTTCGCACTGGTTTTTTGGGTATGATATCAACAACCACACAACCTTCCTGCTGGTAACGATGACGAAGTTCCTCCTGAAAAAAAAAGGAAAGACATTATAATTCTTAATTTGTATTTTCTTTTATTCCTAATAAATGTAACTGAGTGAGTCAACTAAACTAAGTTGCCATAAAAACACCTTGAAAAATGTACAAACATCAACAAACCATTCGACTCTGGTCATTCAGGAAGCCTAACACAGCACCACCGCTGCCGGGGAATTTCACAGCAGCACCAAAACTGCAGCCAATCTCAATCATTTTCAGATTATCTACCCCCAGAGCCGCATCGCCATACAGTTCTCTTCGCATTTGAAAATTTGAATTCATCAGGTCAGCTAGAGTAGACCAATCGTGATTCTTGATGGCTGTTTTAGCCTCTTCAGTTAGATCTGCAAACTTTTTCATTCCCTC